AAAAGTACAAAAGAAAATGATAAAAATTCAAAAAATAAAATTCTTCGAGATGTAGTTATATTACTACATCTACTAGTTAGGAAAATTTAAAAACTTAAATTTGGACATGTTTTGCAAAAAGTGTAGGGAAAATGTAAAACGGCTATAACTTTTGCATATGATGTCGGAAAAAACGTATAATATATCAAAAAATTCAGCACGAAAATCCGCATCCAATTTTGACAGCCTACTGCCTGTTTGCAATTTTTTAGAATCCTCAAATTCCAAAAGGAGAAAAAGATATGCTCAAATTTAAGTTTTTTGTAATTTTGGTTAAATCTAGTCAAATTATGGTCAAACTACTTATTCAAGAAGTATTAATGTTACTACATACTTATTCAAGAATATTAGTGTTACTAAATAATTATTTCAATTTTTTGAATTTTGGTCAAATCTGGTCAAACTATGGTCAAACTTATTGAAGAAATATTAGTGTTACTAAATAATTACTGTTTTTTAGAATAATAGTTTCAAACTCAAATGGTGAAATGTGTGACCTAATGCTCAAGCTAAATTGCCGAGGGTTAATAGGATTTACAGCTTACATTTCTCAGGAAAACAACAAGTGCAGACTTGGAAAGTAGGGGGAATAGAACTCCAAAGTTAAGCATGCTCACGCTGGGGGAGTGAGAGGATGGGTGACCGGTCGGGAAGTTAACGATTTGGAATGAGTGATCCACACTTGAGTAGTTAAGTGGGGCGATTAGAGACTAAATCATCAAATAATTCAGAAAATTAAAATAAAAAATCAATTTTTTTCCAAAATTTTCAAAAAATAATTTCAAAAAGAAAATACCTTTAGTACCGGTTGGTAACACCAACCAGTACTAAAGGTCCCCCATACCATGGCGCGAGCTCACGCCACGTGGTGGGCCTTTAGTGGCGGTTCGTGCCGAACCGGTACTAAAGGGGGGGGGGGGCCTTTAGTCTCCACTCTTTAGTGCCGCTTGCAGAACCGGCACTAAAGGCCCTTATGAACCGGTATTAAAGCTCCGTTTTCTACTAGTGTTGCTTAATTCCAAAAAAAGTCTTACAGCCTATATTTATAACCTAAGATAACTTGCATAAGAATTAACCTAAGATAACATGTATAAGAATTAACCTAAGATAACTTATGGGCTAAGATGCCCGGTGGGCCTAGATAAACCGGCCATAACAACATATAAGTTCCTGATCGACAACCTATGTAAGGAGGGCATGGTTGGTGACGCCAGGATGTTGCTTGAAGAAATGCCTCATGGAGGTCCGGTTCCAAGTGTTATGACGTACTCCCTCTGTTCTTTCTTTAAGATGTTTAAGATAGCTAAAATTAAACTGTTTTGGGTGTTGTCTTAAATGTCTAAAACGTCTTACAAAAGTGAACAGAGGGAGTACAATGCAAAGATCATGGGGTACTGCAAGGCAGGAATGATGCAGGAAGCATTGGGGATTAAGGAGCTGATGGAAGGAAATGTGTGTCGCCCAGATGATTGGACATACGGCAGTTTGATCCATGGCCGCTGTGATGGGAAGATAGACGAAGCTGAACAATTACTGGATAGTGCTGTTAAAGGAGGTTTTACACCTACGGTTGTTACATTCACTAACTTGATTGATGGGTATTGCAAAGCTGAAAGGATTGATGATGCACTCAGGGTGAAAAATAATATGTTGTTGAGTAAATGCAAGATTGATGTAAATGTGTATGGAAAGTTGATCAACAGCCTCATTAAGAAGGATAGGTTAAAAGAGGCTAAAGAGTTGCTAACTGAAATTTCGACAACTGGTTTAGTTCCGAATGTGGTCACCTACAGTTCTTTAGTGATGGCTATTGCAAGACTGGGAAGGTGGATTTTGCACTAGAGGTCTTAAAAATGATGGAAAGAGATGGTTGCCGGCCAAATTCATGGACCTACAACTCCCTGATGTATGGGTTGATTCAGGGTAAACAACTTCACAAGGCAATGGCACTAATAACTAAAATGCAAAAGGATGGAATAACTCCTGATGTTATCACCTATACCACTTTGGATCAAGGCTAGTGCAATGAACATGGATTTGATAATGCTTTCAGGTTATTTCAAATGATGGGGCATAATGGTTTGACACCCGATGAACAATCATACACTGTCTTAAGTGGTGCACTATGCAAAGCTGGACGGCCTGAGGAAGCTTATTCATTTCTTGTTAGAAAAGGAGTACCCCTAACAAAGATACAGTATGCTACTTTAATTGATGGTTTCAGCAAGGCAGGCAATAGTGACATTGCTGCCGCCCTCATAGAGAGCATGGTCAGTGAGGGATGCACACCAGATACGTACACATATAGTGTACTATTGCATGCTTTATGCAATCAAAAGAAGCTGCGGGAAGCTTTGCCGATACTGGATCAGATGACTCAAAGGGGAATAAAATGTACCACTGTTTCTTATACAACTCTAATCAACGAAATGCTCAGAGAAGGGAAGGAAGACCGTGCTAAAAGGATGTTCGATGAAATGGTTTCGTCAGGTCATAAGCCAAGTGCAACCACATATACTGTATTCATTAACTCATACTGCAAGGAAGGTCGAATTGAGGATGCTGAGAACTTAATTGTGGAAATGGAGAGAGAAGGTGTTGCTCCTGATGCAGTGACCTATAACACATTCATTGATGGTTGTAGGCATATGGGATATAATAACCGCGCATTTGATACTCTGAAGCACATGATGGATGCATCATGTGAGCCAGATTACGGGACCTATTATATTCTTCTCAAGCATCTTCTGAAAGGGAATCTTAATGTCAGTTATGTAGATGCTTACGCCTTGTGGAACTTGATAGAGTTGGATACTTTCTGGCAGTTTCTTGAAAGAATGTCACAATATTGTTTAAATCCCACTATGAAGACATACAGTTCTCTCATTGCAGGATTCTGCAAAGCCAGCCGTATTAAGGAAGCTTGTGTTCTTCTTGATCATATGTGTGGAAAAGATATAACACCCAATGAAGAGATATATATGTCGCTTATCAAGTCCTGTTGTGATAGAAAGTTCTTTGAGAAGGCCTTGTTGTTTATTAACAACATGATAGAATGCGGCTTTCAGCCTCATCTTGACTTGTACCAGCTTCTTATACCGGGACTTTGCAACGAGGGAGAATTTGAGAAGGCTAAATTGATGTTCAGCGACTTGCTTGAACTGGGCTATAATCATGATGAAGTTGCATGGAAAATTCTAATTGATGGTTTGCTAAAAGTTGGTCATGTTGGTATATGTTCCCAGATGCTGTCTACCATGGAGAATACACAGTGTTGCATTAGTTCTCAGACATACGCTATGCTTACCAATGGCATGCATGAGGCATCTGGCAGTCTGGTTGGTGCACTCCAAGGAGAAGCTAATTGAGTCAGCCTTATTGATGTGATCATGCTAATAGATTGTAAATTTCATTGGCCACTCTTTTCATTGTGACCAGTTTAATTAACTGAACGCTTTCTTAAAGCAGCTCAATTTCATCTGGAACTTTCTGTCCAATGGTAAGTGTCCACACAAATGATATCCCATTATTTATCCAAACACGTTATCGCCTATAAACTTAGTTGACATAATTTTGTGCCCATTAGTGCACTTCTCTTTCCTTATTTTATAATTGAATCAAGGAAACTCTTGCTTACAAACCAACACATTTATAGAAATCATAGCCTGTATATATCATCCCAGAAACTAACCATGTGTGACAACTCTACATTCTTTTAGCCTGTTGAATATGTTGGTTATAAGGTTAGACTTGTCAAATATGATCAAATAATGATTATGGTAGTCCAATCCAACAGGTACTGTCTTGAGAAATTTGAACAAAACCTTCCATCAAGGCATCAACTAAATAACAGGTGATCCCTTCTTTACCCGGGCAGGAAGACAGGTGCAATTTTGATATTAATGAGGCACATGGGCAGCTCTCAAGGATCACTGCATTGTATAAAACTAACTTGAAATGAGAAACATCTAGTTAGGATGTCATTTGATCAGCGAAATGCCAATACATGTTGCTCAAAGTGACCAGTTTGCCAAAACAGGGTTATCGTACCAATTCCAATTTCTAGTCAACTCGAAGGCACTTCTCATCATCGAAGTTAGGAGGTATGTACTGCATGGCTTCTCGAGACTATGTGCTACCTTGCTTTGTTGTGCATTTGGTTTTTCATCATCCTTCCATTTATGCAGATTGTCAGTGTCATGCTCACCTGAACCTAGGACTTCTGGAGTTCCAATCCTTGCTTTGCTTTGTGGTAATACATTATAACTGTCATTCGTTTTCTTTGTATTATGATATTGGCGGTACAAATGCCATACAGTTCGTCTACATTGCAGAAGTTAAGTTCTGTATAATATTAAATAGTCTACCTCTCCGCAACACCTATTTATGTAGAGGTTCACATCAGAGCATATAGTGTGGTGCACAAACGCATCGACTTGAAAGAACTGAACTTAAAAATTGTTGGGTAGGTACATAGACTTATGCTTGGAATGGGTGTAGAATTAGCGTGGCCATCAATATTTAGCTCAACTTTAAACTAAATACCGGTGACCACACTATTTTACATCCATTCCAGGCAGCCCCTTACTATATAAAAAAATGAATATATAAATAAACTTGTTTACTACTACCTCTATTCTTGGGTGTATATCACCCTAGGATGCTTGTATTCAACCATTACAATTTACAAATCTTGACCACTAATACGCGTCTAAGTACATTGATTCATATTTCAAAGTTCTTTTATGTTATGCACGTTTTGTTATTTTCTATTAAACATATTGTGTTCAGAAGTCGTAGTGACAGTACCGATTGGAGACTGTAAACAATAAGGAAGGGAGTAGGTTTTCCTGTTATTTAGCCCATGTTTCATATATCTTCAAATCGTGTTTTAGCTAAAAACCAATAGCGTTTTCGATTGCATTTTGCATTGAGACATCAGATGTTGTCTATGGTGAGAATTTGACAACACAAAACATGATACTTTGAGGGAGTATTTTTAAAAATGAAAAATAATAAAAGCAAAATTCATATAGACAAGTAACTTGCTACCGGCCTTTGTCAATGTGACCATCTACCAGCCTTTGCTCCTGTAAATTATTGAAATTATGTTCTTCTCATTGCTTTTAAGGCTGCGTACTATAGACCCAAAGTGGTCGGATCCTTCCCCGGACCCTGCACAAGCGGGACCTACTGCACCGGGCTGCCCTTTATGTTCTTCTCATTGCTTTTAAGAACAAAGGCTTAAGTGCACAGAATAAAAATATGATCTCATCGTTAATGTAGATGCAATATTTGCGAGTAGAACTGATCCCCTTCCCCCATGATTACCTTTGGAGTGACATACCAGCATTCATGACCCTGATTTGATTTATATCCATAGACGAGGAGAACCAACCACAGTCCATGGTTAGGTAGCATGATGGCATCACGATTGGGAAACAACAACTGACAGATCCCCATCATCTCTTCCTCCTCCTATAGCATAATAGTCTGTGGTGTGCGGATTTCGAACAAGAAATGCAGTACTCAGCTCTAATGCTGTCTGACAGAATCCTGGAGATGGTAAAATGATCGGATACCATTGTGGCTTTGCTTACATAGAACACATCTGGATCCATGACTTGGGCAGAATATATGCATAAATATAAAGATTTCATGGAGTGGTATTATCTATTCCAAGTTTCTCTGGTGTCCTTGTGGTGCCAATGCGTCTGCCATCAAGGCGCCATCAAGCCACCTGGCTCCAGGGCTATCTCATATAGGCCTTAGGCCCCATAGTCTACTATGATTGTTGATCAATAACACATGCATGGTCTGAAGCATCACCTGTTCAGGTGCAAAGAGCACCCTCAACTGAAAGGTCGGGTTTAGCTATTGCACCTGCAAACTGGAATGGCTGCGTAACCTACATGAATGCCGCCATCGATTCTTATTCGGAGACGCCAAGGCTTCAAATATTCTTAACTAAAGGGTGTCAACCTCAGGTATGTCTTCTACGTTCAGTCTGTCACACTAGCCTCATCTATTCCGTTTGATTCCTAGGGATGTTAAGTGCAACATGTTAATGTCCCTCGAACAGATCTTTGATTGGGCTTGCAGAGTGGATTTCTGACAAATTGTGTCAGTGTTCCCCATTCAATCATCATGCTTAAGAATGATTCCATTATTATCCAGAAGACATAACAGTATTGTAATTGTTGTTTTAACCTTTGACCTTACACCCTTATAATACAGGAATATGGCTTCAGAATATTTCATGTATGCGATCATAACGAGAAGATCGCCGTGTTCTGATATGGACTTTTGTAATCTATCCTTGATCAAGTGCATAGGCAAAACCACTGCTGAACTGAACAACATGAAAAAGCTTAGTGGATCCTTCTCATGATGCTGGACATGACCCAGAGAAGAACACGCGCACAGTGCAGCAGTTCCATGTATGTTCACCACAGCGCAAGCTCACGTCCTAATATGAAACTGGTGAATCGGTGAGTTAGACGTATCTGCCATTTGAAGTTCAGAAGAAGCATTACATTGACGAGTTGATATGATGGTTGCTGGTTGCAGGTGCTCTGTTTCTCGAAGGTGGAGCCACTTTAACATTATGTGAAGAGTTGAAATCACAAAGCTTATATAATATGATTCAAGTCGTGAATCAGAAGACTGGACTGGACCTGCACGTGTTACCTTAATGATTTGGACCATGAAACAAGCAGCCTGCCTTTGAACAATGAATTTTAGGGTACGTTTGCTTTGTGCCCCATCCAGCCTTACAATATTTTGGCGAAGAAATCAGCCGCCCTCGTTTCGCCCATGCATAAGCAAAAATTGTACTACATGTGAGCAGACTGGACTGGCGTGCCAACTTTTTGGTGGCCAACCAAATCGCAGCCAGTGGTCAGCGGGTGTGCCAACCTTTGGTAAGGCTTAGCACCGGCTCCAAACCAAACGAACTCGATTGATCACTACATTTGGACATGTTTAACCATCTCTCTGCACATCACCTATCGCTCTCTACATCGTGATCCTCCTGCTTTGCGTAGATGCTTATAGTTTGCATGGATGGATGGGTGTGAGATCAAACATTCAAAATAATTTCCTGCTTAGTAGTTGTGGACTTCTTTTTCTCAGCCGTCTCAGATGAATGGTTATGTTTATGCGCGGACAAGTCGAGCAGTGCTGTGTATGGCAGACGGGGTTGCATGCTATGTTGTAGAATTGAATCTCTTGATGTACTATGGGAATTGCACAACTCTGATAATGATATGCACGTTTGGGCGACCTTTTATCGACTTTTTGCGAGACATGTAACCAAATTTCTCTCGGGTGAGGTTAGTTCCTGTGCGCGTGTGAACATTGTTTTTTCATGTCATGCACAGATGGAGAATTGTGTGGTTTTCTGGACATGATAAGCCAAGATGAACGCAAGGAAAGCAATTCAAAATATCATGTTTACCTGCCGTTAGTCAGAACTCTGTGTTTGATTGTAATGCAAAGCTGCATGGATATGGCGAGCCCAAAGACTCCAGGCATTTGGAAAAGCAGGATGATATTAAGGTGAGCCGATTAGTAAACTTGAAACTGGAAAACGTAATGGAAGCACACAGTTCAAAGCTGCCACTTTGTTATCTTAATATTTCGAACCATTCCTTGAGTATTCTAAGTGTTGATATTACTGCCACAGGGGACAACAGACCAGGAAGTTCAAGCTGCCACTGCCTCGTGCTCAAGAGCTGGTGAATTGACTGATACAAACAGTGTCACACGGCTTGATTTCATGCCTAATTCTCTAAGCTAGGCGGACTTTGCAGTTCTGCAGGAATTACCTGAGGATGTCAGGGCTGATTTGTTTAATGTGCTTCCATTACATAGGTCAAGAGATCCTACATGCAGCACTTCCAATGTTACTGAAAATAAATCTCCGAATGATGGAGGAACTGATCATCCAAAACATCATGTGAACTTTCATCTCCCAGTTTTGGTAATAGGCTGAACAGTTCAAAACATCCTGTGAACTTTCGTCTCCCAGTTTCGGTAATAGGATGAACAGTTCAAAGTTCTCGAAAATAGGCTGAACAGTTCAAAGTTAACCAAGTTTCTCTCGGGTGAGCTTAGTTCCCGTACGCGTGTGAACATTGTTTATGGAGGTGAAAAAGAGGTCGCTGTAAATGGTTACGTCGATGCAAGCTTTGACACTGATCCGGGTGACTCTAAGTCACAAACTGGATACATATTTTTACTGAATGGAGGGGTCAGTTGGTGCAGTTCCAAGCAGAGCGTCGTGGCGGGATCTACGTGTGAAGCGGAGTACATTGCTGCTTCAGAAGCAGCAACTGAAGGAGTTTGGATGAAGGAGTTCATATCC